TTTTGTATGTATAAATAGGTTAGATTAGTATAAATTAGTTTACATAGTTTCCCACTGGCAACAATAAATTCTGAATATAAAACCAACATTTCACGACCATAACCAATATAAAATGTAATAATTCCTAAATAATAGGAATAATTACAACTTGCACTTAATTAAAAAAAATACAATTATAAATTTGGGATTAAATGGGTTTGTTACTGTCTGAATGTCTTCTCTCATTTACTTAAATAAAGTTAACAATTCCTCTTTTTTTCTGTTTTCTTCTCTAGATCACCAACAATGTAACGTTTATAAGGAGGAGCTATGTAAACAGGAGAGGAGATCCACTCTGGACCAGGAGGAGTTAGAACCTCTGCAGGTGAAACAAGAACAAGAAGAACCAGAAGATCATCAGATAAAAAAAGAGCAGGAGGATCTAGAACATCAGCAGTTAAAAGTGGAAGAGAAAGACGTTTACTGCAGTCAGGATGGAGAACAGGTTGAGTTAAAACAGGAGACTGATACCTGCATGTTGGTTCCTGTTGATGAGCAAACATCCCACACTGAATCAGAACCAAACAGGAACCAAGTCATCTTTCAGGAAGCTGCTGAGGCTGAGAACCAGAATCAGGAAAGAAGAAGACCTTTCTCATGTGAGACCTGTGGAAAACGTTTCACTGCCATATATACTCTCAATCATCATATTAGAACTCATACGGGTGAAAAGCCGTTTTCATGTGTGAACTGTGGAAAAAGTTTTAGTCTTAAACAGCTTTTAACTCGGCACAAGATGATTCACACAGGTGAAAAGCCGTTTTCATGTGTGAACTGTGGAAAAAGTTTTAGTCTTAAACAGGATTTAACTAAGCACATGATGATTCACACAGGTGAAAAGCCATTTTCATGTGTGAACTGTGGAAAAAGTTTTACTCAAAAACAGCATTTAAGTCAGCACATGAGGATTCACACTGGAGAAAAGCCGTTTTCATGTGTGACCTGTGGAAAAAGATTTAGTCTTAAACAGGAGTTAACTCGGCACATGATGATTCACACTGGTGAAAAGCCGTTTTCATGTGTGAACTGTGGAAAAAGTTTTACTCNGTTTTCATGTGGAAGGTGTGGAAAAAGTTTTAGGCTAAAACCGGATTTAACTCAGCACATCAGGATTCACACTGGTGAAAAGCCATTTTCATGTGTGAACTGTGGAAAAAGTTTTCGTCACAAAGTTAATTTAACTGAGCACATGATGATTCACACTGGTGAAAAGCCGTTTTCATGTGGGAGCTGTGGAAAAAGTTTTAGACAAAAACAGGAGTTAACTCGGCACATGATGATTCACACTGGTGAAAAGCCGTTTTCATGTGGGAGCTGTGGAAAAAGTTTTAGACGAAAAGAACATTTAACTCAGCACATGAGGATTCACACTGGTGAAAAGCCGTTTTCATGTGGGAACTGTGGAAAAAGTTTTAGTCAAAAACCGCTATTAACTCAGCACATGACAATTCACACTGGTGAAAAGCCATTTTCATGTGGGAACTGTGGAAAAGGTTTTAGTCAAAAACAAGATTTAACTCGGCACATGATGATTCACACTGGTGAAAAGCCATTTTCATGTGTGAACTGTGGAAAAAGTTTTAGTCAAAAACTGACTTTAACTCAGCACATGAGGATTCACACTGGTGAAAAGCCGTTTTCATGTGTGAACTGTGAAAATGTTATAAAGTAAAATCTCAATTAACTCAGCACATGAGGATTCACACAGGTGAAAAACCGTTTTCATGCAAGACCTGTGGAAAATGTTTTCATCAAAAACAGCTTTTAACTCAGCACACTGCGATTCACAAAGGTGAAAAGCCTTTTATGTGTGTGATCTGTAACAGGTGTTTCGCTTTAAAATCTGCTCTCAATGTTCACACGAGAACT